ATTCAGCTTATGATTCAGCTTAATGCAGTATGTAGATTTTGAATATTATATAAATAATTTATATAACGATAACTTATTTTCAGATCCTTTAGTAGAAGGGTTATTGTATGGTTTAACTTTAGGTTTAAAATCATGTATCATGATTTTTATTTTTATTTGAGCTAGAGCGTCTTTTCCTAGAATACGTTTTGATCAATTAATGTCTTTCTGTTGAACTATATTATTGCCTATAGTTATTGCCTTTGTTATCTTAGTTCCTTGTATTTTATATAGTTTCGATATAATACCTCATAATATTAATTTACTATAAATTAATCTAGAAGAATTATATAAGATACTTGGATAAAAGAAGCAATAGAGTAGTTAATTATTTTTTATTTATTGCGTAAAACTTTTTTTCAATATAAAAATATTTTGTATAATTATAAACAAAATGCCACAATTAGTACCTTTTTATTTTATAAATCAAGTATCATTTGCCTTTGTATTACTTATAATAACAGTGTATATTTGTTCAAAATACATATTACCTAGATTTGTTCGTTTATTTATTTCTCGAATATTTATAAGTAAATTATAATTTACTTGTGTAGTTTAACACATAAGTGTTTATACATACAAATAATTAATTTTATATTTAATTGCATAAGATTCTTTTATTTTTATCTTTAGTTTTTGCTGGTATTAGATATCATTTACTATCGAATTCAATCATTATTTGACCAGAGTAATAATTCACACAAGAGGAAAAATAAAATAAGATAGGCCTTCTAAATACCCTTATATGTAACAAAGTTATAGAAACATTTTTGGTTTATTTTAGTTCTATATATCAATTTATATATCTATGAAGACATGTTTAATTCATATACAAATATATTAAGTCCCTTAGATCAATTTGAGGTCAGAAATTTATTGAGTTTAAATGCTCCTATAATAGGTAATTTAAATTTGTCTTTAACTAACATAGGATTATATTTAACAATTGGTACTCTATTAGTGTTAACAATAAATTTATTAGCAGTTAATTATAATAAAGTTGTTAGTAATAATTGATCTATAGGTCAAGAATCATTATACGCTACTTTACATAGTATTGTAGTAAATCAAATAAACCCGACAAGAGGACAAATCTATTTCCCTTTTATATATACTTTATTTGTATTCATATTAATAAACAATTTAATAGGGTTGGTTCCTTACAGTTTCGCATCAACAAGTCATTTTGCTTTTACCTTTTTCCTGAGTTTTACCGTAGTTTTAGGTGCAACTATATTAGGGTTCCAAATACATAAATTAGAATTTTTCTCATTATTAGTACCGGCTGGTTGTCCTTTAGCTTTATTACCTTTACTGGTTTTAATTGAATTTATATCATACTTGTCTAGAAATGTATCTTTAGGACTTAGATTAGGTGCTAACATATTAAGTGGTCATATGTTATTAAATATTTTAGCGGGATTCACTTACAACATAATGAGTTCAGGTTTTATTTTTTTCTTTTTAGGATTAATACCTTTAGCTTTTATTGTTGCTTTTTCAGGTTTAGAGTTTGGTATTGCTTTCATACAAGCTCAAGTTTTTGTAGTATTAACTAGCAGTTATATAAAAGATGCTTTAGATTTACACTAATCTAATCAGGGTATATGAGTTTGGGGATATGTAGTAGACGGTTCTACGTTTTGATTGCAGATCTTAAATAAGGGGTTCGATTCCTCCATATCTCTAAATTAATTATATTATATATGATTTACATTTATACAGATAAAATGTAAAAATATAAAGTATAAATAATTCCTTTTTTATTTTGTGATACTAATAGAAAAAATACTATACATTTGTATAATATTGGAAAGTCCGGCGCATATTAAGCAAAAATACATATATAATATGAGTGTTAAATTAAAATTAGGGTATTTAACAGAAAATATTTAACATCTTTCTAAAGTCAAATGTATTAATAAAAATATTATTATATACAGTAAAAGATGTTCATGAACTTACAAGCCCGATGTCATGCTTTAATACAGTCTAATGACTATTACAGGAACCGGCTTAAAATTATCCAAATTAATATAATATATTTATATATATATATATATATATTATATTAAAAAAGGTTATTAGTAAGAGTTGAGAATAAAACTCTACCTTATTTGGGTTTTACACTATAAAAAAAAAAAGCATATAAGAAAAGATATATAAATTATTTTTTTATATATCTTTATTTAAATATATAGCTAAACTTAGCTTCTAGTGTAAAAACTTTTTCATATACCCTATTAACAACTACTAAGTATAAAAAGGAATAACTATAATCTTTTTTGTTATTTACTTAATTATATTTAACATAAATATACAGTAAAATATTACTACTAGATAAAAATTTAACTTACACATAACCTATTAACATCTAGAAAAAAAAAAAAATATATATATATAAAAAAAAAAATGAGAATTTTTAAAAGTCATCCTTTATTAAAATTGGTTAATTCATATTTAATCGATTCACCACAACCATCTAACTTAAGTTATTTATGAAACTTCGGTTCTTTATTAGCTTTTTGTTTAATAATACAAATAGTTACAGGTGTAACTTTAGCTATGCATTATAATCCTAGTGTTTTAGAAGCTTTTAATTCTGTAGAGCATATTATGCGTGATGTTAACAATGGTTGATTAATACGTTACTTACACAGTAATACAGCTTCAGCTTTCTTCTTTATAGTATATTTACACATTGGAAGAGGTTTATATTACGGGTCTTACAGAGCTCCTAGAACTTTAGTATGAACTTTAGGAACAGTTATTTTTATATTAATGATAGTTACAGCGTTCTTGGGTTTCGATTTATTACGTAGCCCTACATGATTTAAACATAATAACAATAACAACAACATAAATAATAAAAATAACAAGATAAATAATAACAACAATAACAACTATGCCAAGGATAATAAAAAAATAATATTAAGAAGTAATATACTAGAAGTGGCTATAAACACTATAAATAAAGGTTCAGTCACTTTTAATAGGGTTTGACAATTTATTGTTGATTCTAATTATATATGCTTATCTGTTCCACTTTCACTACAACCTACACATCAAGCAAGTTTTTTTAATATAAATGAATGATTATATGATGCGCAGGTTAATCATAATAGGCCTTTAGAGCGTGTTTTAAGAGATTTACAAACAGAGATAGGGGGTTTACCGGAGTCCAAAAAAAAAAATTGTTGATGGTTTGAATCGTTTAATGTATAAATACACTGATACATTTAACCCTCACGGAGTAAATGTAAATAATGGGCCAGGTGCGCCAAGCAATCTCCAAATAAACCGGGAAAATATGGTTGCACTCGCCAACTTTAAAATTAAGATCCAAAGAGAGGTACCTGAAACTCATGTAACACCTCCTCCTAGCGATGATGGATATAGCGCATACAGTATGGTAGAGTCATGTGATACGAGATCTTTACTTTCTCTTTTTGTTGAGGCAAATCCATTCTTATCGGCTTTATGTTTACTTTTTATAGTATGTTTTACAATAACAGCTTATTTTATAATAAGAGCTTTATACAATAAATATAAACTTAAAATTAAGAATAAATTTAAAAGTATAGTAAATATTATTAAATCTGTTTATACAACTAAAAATAATGATATTGCTCCAGTTTTTGGGGAACAAAAAAAAAAATAATGTGTTTAATTACATGGCTATGTCAAACAGTAAGTATATATTTTTACATAAAAACACCTTTATGGATAGTACTTCATATAGACGTGTTTTACCTATGTACTTTTTATATAGAAAAAAAAACTTTAATAAATTCCTTTCAAACTCTAGTACAACTACAGCAACATTTCCTGATTACTGTCGTAGTGAAGAGGTTATTAAATTTATAAAAAAGCAGAAACTTAATCCGATTCTTGTATATGAAAATATAAATATGGAGAGTATTAAAGCTAGACTTCAATATGAAACAAGGTTTCTTGCGGCTATTTACTTAATATTAAATAAAATTACTATAGATTATTATATAGGATCGGCTACTACAGGTAAATTACATGCTAGATTATCTAATCACTTATTTAACTTTCATGGTAGTAAAGTGGTGAAGAATGCAGTAAAAAAACACGGTATATCTTCATTTGCAATTATAGTTTTAGAATTGTTCCCTGAAGAAGTAAACAAGGAGAACAATAAGCAATTATTAGATTTGGAAGACTTTTACTTAAAATCTTTATTACCAAACTATAACATCTTTACTGAAGCTGGTTCAAGTTTTGGTTATAAACATAGTGATATATCGAGACTAAAAATGAAGGCCAGTTACAGTGAAGAGCGTAGAGTATCTATTGGTAGTTTGAATAAAGGTAAAAGCTTATCTCCTAATACTATTGAATTGATGATGGAAGCGGTTTTAAACCGTACAAAACCCATCTATTCAGAAGAACCCCTTAAAAATATGAAGAAAAACTCTAAAGCTATACTCGCATATAATATGGATTACACAGTAAATAGATAATTTCCAAGCATAGTAGATGCCGCGAAATCTTTAGGTTGTGATCATAAAACAATCAATCGGGCTTTATAAACCCTCAAAAATATATTGAGAAGGCATTGAATTGTTAAGTATGTTTAAACATAAGTTGTTTATGTTTAATATTGAGTTTAAATTATAGTCCCACATGTAAAAAATTTTTATGCAATCTGTGAAGAGAAATAAAAAAAGAAAGTGGAATAACCCGACAGGGATATTGAAGAAGACCAATAGGCTTCTTTGGCAATGTTAGTGAATACGATCAAATAAAATTTAATCTTGCTTTATTTAAAGGCTAATCACTAGAGAAATACGAGATTAAACGTTAGAGATCGTTGGTTATTGAAATAATCGCGACAGACTGGGTCACTAATGGGTGTCTGAAATGATGCTTAATGCACAGTCGGAATTTTTAGTTATATTCTGTAACCAATAGAATACAGGAATTAAAAGTTATTCTAGCTTATTATAAAATGCAATTTTATTTATATTAAGTAAATATGTATGTTTTACCATATGGGCAAATGTCTTTATGAGGTGCCACAGTTTAGTAATAGCTGTGTATAAATATCACTATATGCTGGAAACTCCTTAGAACTATTTTATTTAGCACCCTCTCTCCATCCAACATAGTGGAGCTTCGCAGAAGAGAGGTTTTTGTAAAATATAAGTTAAATAACTTAGCTTAGGACAATCAGCAGGAAACCAACGGATAATCTTGATATTATCTTAGTAGGATCCTCAGAGACTACACGTGATACATCTCCTTTCTTTTCCAACCCCTTTCCGCCTTAAAACCTCTAAGGAAGAGGACTGTATTAGTCCTTAATTTTTTGCTGTTTTATACTTATCCCTTTACATATAAGGGATAAGAATATTAATAGGCTGTAAATTGAGAAGGGAGTAAAGATATAGTCCAGAATTAAAGCTTACTCACCTAAATCTTCTGCATAAAACTGTACCACAATCGCCTTATTGGATATTATTGGTATATTGGTTTTACACAGTACGTATTACTAACCTTATGAGTGCTATACCTTGAATAGGACAAGATATAGTTGAGTTTATTTGAGGTGGCTTTTCCGTTAATAATGCAACATTAAATAGATTTTTTGCATTACATTTTGTATTACCTTTTGTATTAGCTGCTTTAGCATTAATGCATTTAATTGCATTACATGATAGTGCTGGGTCTGGTAATCCTTTAGGTGTTTCAGCTAACTATGATAGATTACCTTTCGCTCCTTATTTCTTATTTAAAGATTTAATAACTATATTTATTTTTATCATAGTACTGAGTATATTTGTATTCTTCATGCCCAACGTATTAGGAGATAGTGACAATTATGTCATGGCTAATCCTATGCAAACACCTCCTTCTATTGTTCCCGAGTGATAAAGTATAAAGATGTCACTTAATCTCACTATATGCTGGAAAACCTTAAAATATTTTTTTACATGTATACATAGTTAAGACAATCAGCAGGAAACCTACTAATATTTTAGCATTTGTGCTGTTTTAGCTTATTTGCCTTTATTTTAGTAGGATCCTTAGAGACTATACGTGAGACATGATAGTTTTATAATAATCCTGTTATGGAGATATAGTCCTAATATTAAGAAAACATGTTTATATTCTATAAATTCTAATTAACATAACGTGTACAATAACTTAGATCTTTTACCTTTCTATGCTATATTAAGATCTATACCTAATAAACTATTAGGTGTTATTGCTATGCTTAGTGCTATTCTAATGTTATTGGTTATGCCATATACAGACTTAAGTCGAAGTAGAGGTATACAATTCAGACCATTAAGTAAAATAGCTTTCTATGTATTTATAGCTAATTTCTTTATCTTAATGGTTTTAGGTGCTAAACACGTAGAATCACCATACATAGAATTTGGTCAAATAAGTACTGTAATATACTTTTCACACTTTTTAATCATAGTACCTTTAATAAGTTTAATAGAAAATAGTTTAATGGAGTTGTCTGTATATAGTACTGATAAGTTGATTAAAATAGCTGGATCAAATTCTTTATAGGTATAAATATGAACATATAAAATTATTTATTCTTTTAGTGATGCTATATTTGTCGAAAAACATAAAGTATTAACAAGGAGTGTAACTACATTAGAGTTGGTGTTGAGAAAATAATTAAAATCTTTATCCCAAGAAAGAGCACATCATATTCTTAGAGTTATACTTCCTAGGAAGTATTATCTATGTTTATGATTGTTCTACCACGCCTTTAATC